TTAGCTCAATCTTTAACTGGCCAAGTTACAGCCGTTTTTTTTTTTTTTTTTTTTTTTTTGTTTTTTTCTGACGATGATGATTGGCCATAGAGGCCATCTTAAACAGGTTAAAACTTAAAACTTAAAAGATGATCAGCTCTAGAGTGAAACATTAGTTAGGGACAGTTTTAATACATTCATCGTTTCACATGATACTTTAATATCAGAGTTTAACAGTTTTAAACTACTTCAGAAAGGGGGACCAGAGGTTGTGCTCCAATTACAGGGACATCACTCTCCTTAGCCTCCCTGGTAAGGTCTATTCAGGTATACTGTAGAAGCGAGTCCGAACGTTGGTCAGACCTCAGATCTAGGAGAAACACTGCAGAATCTATCCTGGCCATGGAACACTGGATCAGCTCTTTACCCTCACTAAGGTCCTCAAGGGTTCATGGGAGTTTTCCCATCCAGGCTACATGTGTTGTATGGACTTGGAGAAGGCATTTGACAGTGTCCCTATACAAGCAGTGAGAGAGTCTGGTTCGCATTGCCGGTAGTAAGTCGGACCCCTTCAGGGTGGGAGTTGGACTCTGCCAGGGCTGCCCGTTGTCACAGAATCTGTTCATAACTTTTATGGAAAGAAGTTCTCATTTCAGCCTTGACCTGAAGAGAGCAATCCACCATTTTCTGACTGAGGACCATGGCCTCAGATTTGGAGGTGCTGATTCTCATCCCAGCTGCTTCACACTTGGCTGCAAACTGCTCCAGTGAGAGCTGAAGATCATGGCATGATGACACCAACAGGACCACATCATCTGCAAAGAGCAGAGATGGAATTCTGAGGCCACCAAACCAGATTCCCTCCATGCTCTGGCTGGAGGGAAAGCCACTGGGACATTGTGTTTAGAAAATAAACGTCTCAGTTTCTCTTTTAAACCCCAAAATACATTCCGGCAAAGACTGGTTCATCCCAAAGATCCAGTCCCCTGGCACAAACAGAGTAATGTTGTGTATGCTGTTCAGTGTCAGGAGGGTGATCAGTCTTACATCGGGGAAACTAAACAGCCACTGACCAAAAGGATGGCCCAGCACAGAAGATCAACACCATAAGGTCAGGACTCTGTGGTATACACTCATCTCCAGGCCAGCGGTCACTCGTTCAGGGATGAAGATGTTCACATCCTGGACAGAGAGGAACGATGGTTTGAGAGAGTAAAGGAGGCCATCTTTGTGAAAAGAAATCGTCCATCATTAAACAGGGGTGAAGGCCTCTGGGTTCAACTGTCCCCTTCTTACACTGCTGTTATTGCTAGTATCATTCAACCCCCTGTGAATAGTAAACAGCCATCAGTGTGCTAATGATCCATCGTTAGGCTGATGGTCCTTCTTGATCATGTGAGCAGCTGGTTTTGGTTGTCAGCAGCAAAACTGGTTGATCCACTCTGAGAAGGTGCTATTTAAGAGACTGAGCTGAATACAGCACCTCAGACTGAGGAAGTCTTTTGGATGAAATGTTTCTACTTTTTTTTGGTTTGTTTGTTTTGATTTTTGAATGTCCAGAGGACCAGACTTAACTTTTTTAGATTTTTCTACCTGGATTATTGAGCATGCATCGGGATACAGAAGCTCAAAGGTTAGAATGGCTGGATATAAACAATCTGTCTACAGGGGCTGTCACACAGTTACCAAAAAGGTTTCAATGTTCAAGCTGCTGAGCAGCAGGAGCCTAAAAGCAGCAGTCTTCCTCACCATTGGATCAGAAACAGGCGAGATTTGGCTTTGCCCTTAACTCAGGAGCTGTAAGACCAAGGTTTGCAGCAGAAACATCTGGAATCTCCACAAAAAAGTGTTTGAAACTAAGAGTTGATGAGAAAGATTTAGATAAAGCTGTCACACAGTCTATACTGCTTGGAGTATGTGATATAAATTAGTCTAATCTACTTATAATTTAAAATTTAGGAAAATATATGGAAATATTTTTGTTTTTTAAGATCGGTTAGATGCATGCACATCATGAATTGGGTTGACTCAGAAAGCTAATTAGCTGTAAATGTACGTCTATAATTCATTTACTGAATGATGTGTTAAAATACACAATGTGGCTCATGAGATATTTTGCTAACAGACAGAGTTGACTCTGGTAGTAAATGGTAAAGTTTTAAGAACAGGTTTTGTGTGATAATTTTGTCCTCAGAGCATCAGCTGGTCTCAGCTCTTAACACTTTTAATAAATGAACAGTTCTTATATAGCACCTTTCTATCTTTTCAAGCCACTCAAAGCACTTTCCACTACATTCTGTGCCCTCGTTTACCCATTCATACAGCACTCTACTAGATCTCTACAAAGCTAATTGAACAAATCATTGTAAAGAGACAAATCAGTGCTTTTAGATCACATTCATACACCGATGGGACACACATTGGAGGCAATGAAGTGTCTTGCCCAGGGACACTTTGCCATATGACTGCTGGTGGATTTGAACCAACAACTCTTGCATTTGAGGATGACTGCTCTAACCACTCATCCACAGCCACCCTTATGATAAATAATAATTATATTTTTTGTTGTTGTTATTATTGTTATCATCATAGGGGAGTGGTGGCGCAGAGGATAGAGAAGATGGGCCAGTGATTAGAAGGTCAGGGGTTCAACTCCCTGTACCAACATCAATTGTGGGTGGGAAAGGTGAAGCATCCAGATCTGCCTCCACCCTCATTTGCCTCACTTTGGGCCCTTGAGCAAGGCCCTTAACTTCTGCCATCTGCTCCACGCAGAGGGCTGTGGTAGCTCAGTGGTTTGTGGTTGCATCAAGAAGGGCATCTGGTGTAAAAACAATCACCAAGTCTTTGTGCGACTTAGTTTGCTGTGACGACCCCTGAAGACTGGAGAAGCAGAAAGAAAAACAAAAAATTATTATCATCATCATCTTGTTTTAATTTTAGCCCAGCATCTGTAAAGCTGACTGATTTAGGGAAATCTTTGAATTTGTAATGTTGTTTAGTGGAAACAAACTTGAAGTTGGTTCCTAAAGTTAGTTAGTTGTGGGTGTAAAGGTTTACTTTCTGTGAGTTTCAGTAAACTCTGTTTGGTGGTTCTTGAGATATGTTGGGACCAAACAGACACAAAATAAACATCATCTGTCTTTACGTTCCGACGGCAGGCAACACTATCTCATACATCATCCCAACGCAAACATACTGTAGATGGCTGTTCCCAGTCTTGCTTTATACAATGGCATGATAACGTCTCAGGACATCCAGACATTTTCTGTCCCACTCAGCTTCTCTCCACTGCAGTTAAGAACAAGGTTCCTGTCAAATTAGTTTAGCTAATTACCTTCGGAGCATCTGCAAACCTTTAACACCACAAAAAACACACCCCAGATTTGAAATGTCCCAGCATCTTCAGAGGACGGCACTCACAACAAGCTTCAATAATTCAGGGACAACCTAAATGAGTAAACTGTAATCTTGCCAAGAGGCTCTCATTCTTTAATGAGAACAAGACGACAAGATGTCTTCCAAACACCCAATGCTTCCCCCTTTCAGTTTCAGCAAGCCACATTTCTTTTTCACAGCTAAGTTGTTATGCAAGTGTGCAGCTCGTGCACTTGCTCATTCACAATTCATGCTCACTACTTGTACACCCACATACCAAACTCTCTCCTTGAGCTTCCTCCCATTTTTCTTCCCTGCTCTCCCCAAAACTGCAATTCTAATGCACACATCATGAAAATATGTCTTCATCGCTGCATTTTGCACTCTGCTGATGCCTCCTGGTATTTGTGAAGCTCCATGTCGCTTCCAGAGACGGTAGTTATTCATCTCACTGAGGACATTTTGCTCACTATGCACAGCATTTCTTCTTGTTACCTGAAGAACATTAAAAGGAAGCTAGAAATACTACAAGCTGATATAATTTCTGGGTTTTGTATTGGGATAGCTAAGGAGTAAACAGAAGTGAATAACAGATTTTAGCATTGCAACTGTAGTGAACTAAGCAGGTAGTATGCTCATTACACAACATAAGGCAGTCCAATGTTAGAAGAGGGTTGCCACCAAGAAGGAGGAGAGGGGATGACCCCCATTATAAATTTTATATGTCCTAATTTGTGTAATGTTTGATTCTAGCTGTTCAACAGTTCTTCTTTGCTGATTTTATTGTATTGTTTTCTAATGAGAGGTCTGAACTGTAGACAGGCCACTTCAACAGCCAGACTCTTCTACTGCAGAGCCACAATGCTGTAATGGATGCAGTAGAGTTTTAGCATTGATTTGCTGAAATAAGCAAAGACTTCCATGAAAAAGACATTGTCTGGATGTGAGCATACTTTGTTTCAAAACCTGCTGCATATGCCTCTCTAGTTGTGTAAACTATCAATGCACGAGGTTGAGATGGAGTAGATGTAGGGCAGCCAAACTGACACCAGAAAGTCGTGGTTCGACTCACCACCATCCCTAGATGTCGTGGTGTCCCTGAGCAAGGCATCTAAGGCACATTTTCTTTCTTTTTGTTTCTGTGCACTGATAACAGGTCAAGTGGACCACCGAACAGTTTTTCACTTTGCCTAAGTCTATCTGAAATGAACTTTTGTCCAGAGAAGGCTTTTTCTTTATCTTACAGAGCTTTAAGCAGCATAGATGGACAGCAGGACAAACTGTGTTTATGGTTAAAGATTTGTGGAAATCCAACATCATTCAGTCAGGTCATCTGGACGGTTTCTTTTTTTGTTGAGATGTTCATACTTCATCCAAAGGACCTCATCAATCCAAGGAGCCACAAACAAACTCATTTCCCCAAGCAGAACACTCCCATGGTGGACTAACAAGTTTGCTGGTGATAAGATGGTTTCTAGGGCCTGTCCTCTCCCCGTCAACTCCTCTGAGGCAGCCATAGCCCAAGTTGTTCAAATCATCTTAGTTCATGCTCAATAACCCAGGTAAAAAAAATCCCACGATGTTCAGTCCAGTCATCTAGACGGTTGCTTTTTTTGTTGTCAACACCAACCGGAAGCGGCCCCATGAGACAGCCCACATCAAAGCCCGCAAGGGAAAGAGAAAAAATAAAATACAAAGCTCACAGAGCAGTAACCAAAACCCACCAAGAAATCAAGATCATCCTCACCCAGAAACAACCCAGGCCAGCCATCCTGCAGAAAACACACAGACCCCGAGCCCCGCCCCAAAACAGAACCAGAGCCAGCAGGTACCGGAGCCCGACCCAGGACTGCCTCAGTGATTTCCAGACCCCATCCAAGTTAGTCTACCCAGTCCCCACCCCACAAGAAAAACTACCCCCACCCAAACATTTGGACAGCTCCCAGACCAAGACACCCAGGCTGAGTTCACCCATCCCCACCCATGGCCCATTCTTCCCCTGCCAGCAGTATTTCCCATCCCACCCCCCTCCTCGTGGGAGAGCACCTGCAATGAGGTGGTAAAGAAATCTCCCCATTAGCTTAGATGCCCCAAGGCCCACCAATGCACCAAGGGACCCCAAGCCAGGGCCAGGCACTGGTGCACGTACCAGCCCAAAACCCCGACAACATACCCGCCAAGACCCAAGACCCGCAGACCCAGCCGGAATCCCAGCCAGGGAGCGACACTCCCCCAGAACCCCAAACCCACCCAGGAGCAGCCAGGCCAGCAGGCCAGTAATCCATGTATGCCGGTACAGACTGCCCAGAAGCCTGCATGCAGCCACCAGAAGTCATCCCCAGAACCATCAAAGCCCCTCCCCAGTCGGGGGCCATAGCCCCAGGCTCATGACCCCCCGATGCCCCGATACCCCCCACCACACACACACACACACACACATCAACAACGATGCCCCGCAGGACAAAATCAAAGGGGCTCACCCACCTCCACTACGTGTTGGAGCCGATCAAAGAAGCCCAGCGATAATGGTCTAATGTGGAGGTACAGGCTGTCTCAAGACTGATACATTCCAACAAAAGGTCTTTATACTGTTTAATACTAAGAGTATTTTTATTTTCCCAATTCATCCATCCATCTTTACCCGCTTATTCCATTTTGGGTCACGGGGGTCGCCGGTGCCCATGTCCAGCAATCACTGTGCGAGGGGCGGGGTACACCCTGGACGGGTCGCAAGTCCATCACAGGGCCACATAGAGACAAACGAGACAAACAACCATTCACTCTCTCACTCACACCTAGAGACAATTTAGTGTTACCAATCAGCCTAACATGCATGGTTTTGGACTGTGGGAGGAAACCAGAGCACCCGGAGAAAACCCACGCATGCACGGAGAGAACATGCAAACTCCACCCAGAAAGGCCCCCGGACCGGGATTTGAACCAAGGACATGCTCGCTGAGAGGCAGCAGCTCTACCAGTTGTGCCACCGTGCTGCCCATTTTCCCAATTCATGAGTATATATATTTTTTTCTATATATAAAGCAGTAAAAATCATGTGAATTGACTTTGTCTCCAAGGTGACATCATCTAAGTGGCCCAATAAGCAAACTGACGGAGAGTGGAATATTACTTCTCAGACACTTTGATAAGTCTTCACATATCCGGCACCAAAACCTCTGAACAGGAGGACAGAACCAAAATGGTGTGGATATAGTTGTCTGGAATATTACCTGTACACTGGGAGCAGGTAATAGATGATGCAAAACCCATCCTGAACATCTGTTGATCTGTACAAATTATTCTATGGAGGATTTTGTATTGTATTAATTGTAAATTGGACTTTTTAATCATCTTAAAAGTTCTTAGACATATCTGAGACCAGATGTATTTTTCAAAGTTGACTGACAAATCCATCTCCCATTTTACAATGGGAAGGGATATTGGTTCATCTATTTTAATGAGGGTCCTGTAAATCTTAGATAGTAATTTGGGAGGGTTAAGATTAAGGAACTCTAATACACTTGTTGGTATTTCAATCCTAATGTTATTGAGCTTAAATTTATTTTTTTATTATAGATTTAATTTATTGATATTCTAAAAAATTTGTCTTATCGATCCCATATTGTGTTAATCTGTGAAATGGGATATAGTCTACTTCCTCATATATTTATTCCAAATAGTCGATTCGGGCAGCACGGTGATGCAACTGGTAGAGCTGCTGCCTCTTAGTGAGCAGGTCACCCTGGTTCAAATCCAAATTCGGGGGCAATTCTGGGTGGAGTTTGCATGTTTTCTCAGTGCATGCTTGGGTTTTCTCCGGGTACTCCAGTTTCCTCCCACAGACCAAAAACATGCATGTTAGACTGATTGCTAACTCTAAATTGCTCTTAGGTGTGAGTGAGAAAGTGAATGGTTGCTTGTCTCATTTGTCTTTATGTGTCCCTGTGATGGACTGGAGACATGTCCAGGGTGTCCCTTGCCTCTTGCACAGTGATAGCTGGACATGGGCATCAGTGACTCCCGTGACCCGAAAAGGAAGAAGCGAGTAAAAGATAATGGATGGATGGATGGATGCCAGCTCTAACCTACCATCCGTCCTATTTATCCTTCTTCTGAGATTCAGCATCGCCAAAATGTTCTTTTGATATACAGTCCTCTGACTGACCTGTAGCCAATTAATATGATTTGTTGCAAAATTCTCCTCCAGCTGTTTTCTTATCATACCACTTATTTTTAAAGCCTTTTGTTGACCCTGTTCCAACTTGTCATTATGATTTACTGCAATCAAATGTACATTTTATTTTTTCCAAAGAATGATACAATTTCAGAATCAGAATCAGAATAAACTTTATTGGCCTTGCACCGAGGTACAACGCGAATATGTACGTACAGTCGTCCTAAAGATGGGCGGAGTGCACGAAGCTGCAACTGTAGAAAGCGCGGCCATTTTTATCCTTATCAGATAATAATCTTAGATAGGAAAAGGGGTAGAAACATGAGGGTAGACAGTGGTATTACAAAAAAAAGATCTTTCACATCTTGTCTATCAGGACACGATTTGAGACATAAAAAAACTCTATCAGCAGCACAATTAAAACATGATTACATTTGCATTTTACATCAAGGTGTTGAGATTTGTCCATGAGCGTTTTTTCAGTTCAGCCACAGTTTCTGAAGATGTTGTTTCAGTGGACAGTTCTGATGAGCTTGCACAGAAAGTTCTCGGGGGGGGGGGGGGGGGGGGTGGTAGATTAATAAAATAAGCGAGAAACCAAGTTCAGCTTTGGTGTATGGCTGCATTCAAGTGTAAGAAAGGTCCTTTTCAAATTTTGAGTTGTCATGTCAAAATGAATGACAGCCACCACCTTGTATATGTAAACTAATCACCACATCATTTGAGGAAACTATGCTTTCTAGTTTTTATATTGCTTAAAAATATATTTTCCTCAAATGATTAGTATAGCTGAAGATAAATGTATGGGGGCCAAGATCCCCATTAGCCACCCCATGGCTCTGTCATTGCACCTGATGGTGGATAAAATTGCTCCCTCCACTCATGAGGAAAGCTCCTTCCATTCTTCTCCACAGTAACTTGAACCCCACACTCCCTGTTCTTTGAATTGAGAAAGCTCCTCAGATGAGAAGTGAAACATCTTCAGCTACAGAATAGAAGTCCAGATGTTTTTGCCTTTAAACCTTTTTTTTTTTTATTCTCCACGGTATAACTCCCCACTTGAATATCTTGTACCAAAAACATTTAGGCTTACTTCATTCTCTGTTCAATTCCAGTCCAGAAAAACATTCATTTCCAAAACTGCAATCATCTAGCCATTATCTTTAACCACTTTATCCTTTCAATGTCACTGGTGCCCATATCCACCCATTGTGGGAGACACCCTGGATAGGTGTCCAGTCCATCACAGGGACACATAGAAACAAACAAACATTCACATAGGGATGCATGATATTGGATTTTTGGTCGATATCCGATATGCCGATATGTTAAAACTTATTCGGTCTATAATCGATGCAGAAACAGATACCGATATTTTATATACTTTCCTTTGTCAGAACATAACCCTCTTATTTAGGCTTATTTGCTACAAAAACTGTGCAACTGCTGTAAGAGCTGGTGACATATATTCAGTAACAGCCATATGATATGCAGAGCACTTTGACTTATATTAAATGAAAAGTGTTAAATGTTATTTATTAGCATTAGTCACCTGCAAAGCTGTCTTACTTGTGGAGGCTTGTTCCAGGTTCCTAGCTGCAGTGTGGGATCCTCTGCACTCCTGTGTATGAAGGCCAGCCTTTTAAATTCAACAATTTTGTCTGTCCATTGTTCCTTAAGACTAATCATGCTAATGGGGCTAACACGACGTCCAAATGTTTGTGGTAAAACTCACCCAACAAGTCGTGCTATCGGCTGTTATCTTCTCAATGACGTCGGAAATGACTGCATGTAACTCGGGTAACGTTACGTCAGAAAAATATCTCCGACTGCGGACGATAAAGCGAGGCTCAACCTACTCCATAAATCTTCGGAATCCAACATCCTCACCAACGATAAAGAAAACTTCCACACCGCCGACATTTTGAATTTTTCTCTCCACCATGAGATTGGGCAGGTGAACGTGACGTCATCACGTTGTGCTGCCACTGCAGGCACAAACAGCGCCTTTTATATCGGCGAGTTATTTTAATGGAATGGCTGATGTCTGACATTGAAATTTAACATTAATATCGGCCGATACTATGCTGATAATATCGTGCATCTCTACATTCACAGTCACACCTAGGGACAATGTTACCTATCAGCATAACATACATGTTTTTGGTTTGTTTTAAATGTGTTTCTGGAGAGAAAACGACGAGGGAATTTACATGCCTCTTGTTTTTATAGGGATTACAGTCTGTTTAGGGTGTCATGGTGGTGCTGAGCTGCTGCCTCTCAGCAAGCAGGTCCCTGGTTCAAATCCTGGTCCAGGGACCTTTCTGGGTGGAGTTTGCATGTTCTCTCTGTGCATGCGTGGATTTTCTCCGGGTACTCCGGTTTCCTCCCACAGACTTAAAACATGCATGTTAGGCTGATTGGTAACTCTAAACTGTCCCTAGGTGTGAGTGAGAGAGTCTTGTCTTGTTTGTCTCTATGTGTCTCTGTGATGGACTGGAGACCTGTCCAGGGTGTCCCCCAGCCTCTTGCACAATGATAGCTGGATATGAGCACCAGTGATCCTTGCAACCTGAAAAAGGAAGAAGCAAGTAAAGATGATGAATGGATGGATGGATGGATTTCTGTTTGCATATTTTATATTTACCTCTTGATTAAACTTTTTGGGCTTTGGGGAATTGGAGAGCGAAGACGAGCTTCACTGAGCTGTGTCGTGTCTGAGCTGTTTCCAGTGAGCAAAATCAACTGTACAGTAAAAATAAATGAAGAAACCTTTATCAGCAGATGATTCTCTAACTTCCACATTGCAGTATTTTTCAAATGAGGTCTATTTATGACAACAGAATACAAAAACTCCAGAAAATCTGATGTGGCTTTTTGTTTTGGTGTCCATACCAAGATTATCCATGGCCTCCATCTGGCCAGGCCTTTGCAAATGTTCTGCACGCCCCTGTGTTACAGAGCTGATTATTTATGGTGGCAGCAGTTATCCAATTAACGCACTGCTCCACTGTCACACTGGGATTGTGTTCACATTGTCTCAGCTCCTGCAAAGTGTTGTGCAGAACACAGCAGGTACAATTTGAATGCCATTATCGAGATGTGGGCGCCAAGCATGGCATGAGCAATACTTATTAATGTCCCACCCAACGTTAGCCTTTCAGTCACTGGCAATAAACAACCCGCCAGTGGAAAATGTGGGG